TCTATTCTTCTTCCTCCTTTTCCCCACCCTCTCCCTTTCTTATGTAAAACTGGCTGGCCTTGAACTCACAGAGATCTGCATGGCTCTGCCCAGAATAACATTTCAAGGCAATCAATGAAAAACAATAGAAAATTTGAAAACTGATCCTTTAAAGACCAATGAAAAGAACCAGATTGTTTTTGACAGAAGCTATAGTATGGATGGTCCTATAAGTTGTAATGCAAATTAGACAAACATTTCAACATTCTAGTAGTCAAGGTCACAGACCATGGCACTGGTAGGTAAATAAAAGGAAAGCAAAGAAAACTTGTTTCCTGGGTGAAGAGCATCAGCTCTACAAAAGAAAGAGTTCCAGAAGAACCAACCAGCTTAGCCTACCTGGCAAGTACAAAGCTATTAAGAGACCCTGTCTCAAAAACTCCAGGTCAATTGTGCTTGGGAAACAGCAGATGGTTTTGCCCTGTGGCATGCACACACATAAAAACCATGTATATCCTGCTGGTCTAATTTTCCCCCCTCATTAAGAACTTAAAACTATCACAAATAAGCAAAGATTTAACTTGGAAGAATTTCATAGCAATATTTTCTAACAGCAAGAAGTTAAATGCAATAGACATGCCAAAATGTTACTTAAGCTAAGTTTTCAACAGAAAAAAACTGAAAGAACCAGGCAGTAGTGGTACACACCTTTAATCCTAGCACTCGGAAAGGCAGAGGCAGGTGGAAGATCTCTGTGAATTCAAGTGAAATCTACAGAGCTAGTTCTGACAGCCAATGCTACACAGAGAAACCTTGTCTCAAAAAACAAAAGAAACAAAGTAGGTAGATAGTTAAGTATTATTCTGTAACAGGCTATACAACTTGGGTATTAAAAATCGAATTAAAAATCAAGATAAAAGTAGATGGCACAGAGCTTGGTTGGCATAGGCAAAGTTTAGGTTGCCATCCCCCCTCCCAAAAAAAGGGGGGGTGATAATTATTTGGAAATGTTTACAGTAATGTGCAAAGAAAGACAGCATACAAAAAAAAAAGTTGTCGGTATAACAATCTTATCCTTCAAATCTTGTTAAAAGTTAAGGAATAATAATGGAATTGTCTATGCCTTTAGCAACCAGTGTTAAACTATGATGAACACACATTACCTTTATAGTATTACAAAACTTCCCCTCCAGCAGGAATGGTGGTGCATACTTATAAGACCAGCAACAGGGAGGCCAGCCTATACATCAGCCTCAGCACTACTCACTCTACTCCTACTGTCACAGACAAAATAGGAACACTTTCACAACATGAAAAATGTCCACTTTCTCCTTTGTTCAAATTACTGAACCAAACTTCATACCACTGTATAGCCTGAACTGAGGTCTTTCTAGTAAGTATAGTCTTCCTGGCTTCTCTCCACAGTGCAGTCATCAGTGACCAATGTCCACTAAAGCAAACCGAGATGTGAGAAGGACAGAAACCATATTTCAAATGCTTATTATTATAGTTATTAATTTTTTATCTACCGTGTAAATTAAACTTTATCTCAGGTATAAATGACAGGGGGGCATGACATGACAAATGAGTATTCAAACAATTAAAATATAAAGTATGAAAATAATGAGGAAAAAATAAAATTTCATACACACAATAACCATTAGTTGAAATGGCAAACATGAACAGTATTAAAAAGCAACTAAAGTCACAATCTGCACAATTAAATGTAAAACTTGTCAGTATGCACATATAGGAGTTAAGCTTGGCAGAAATAGCATTTCACAACATTAGTAAAGAAGTTATTAATTTCGGGTTTTAGGGGAGAAGGTTGGGGCAGAATCTCACTATGTAGCAGAGGCCAGTATAGAATTTCCTACAGAGACTCATGCTTCTCCTGCTTCAGTCTACAGAGTACTAAGATTAAGACAAGAACCACTATACCTGCCCTACTGTTAATCAGTAAAGGGACAATTAATTATCACTTTTAATTTGTATTATATGCAAAACAAATTCCAATAAAATTATTCAGAAATAAAAACATCACAGGATCTTTATGGTTATATATAGAGAAGGCTATTTTAAATATATGTCTATATCTACACAGGCAAAGACAAGTAATAAAATCAGAACTTAAGACTGGTCAAAAGATAGAAAAATTGTAGGAAAAATAAAGCAATCACTAAACACTCAGTATGAGTGAAATCACACTCAAAAGATGCCCGCCCTCACACTGCAGGCTTAAAAAGTCTGGCTTGGAATGTAGCTCAGTGGGAGAGTAGATGCCTAGCATGAATGAGAGGGGTGTGAACCCCACTCTACCCTACAGAGAACCAGTTCTTCAAAGACACTATTCAAATCTGTCCTACCCATACTAAGCAAACCATTAAACAGAGGCCCCATTACTAATAACACCTCAAGAGGAAGGAGCTTTTGTGTTTGGGCACAAATGTCTGTGAAGGACAGAGTCAGATGTCTTCCTCCACTGTTATACACTTTGAGAAAGGGTCTCTCATTGAACCTGGAACTCAAAAGATTCATTCAACTAGACTGACTGCCAGCAAGCCTGATGGGCTGAGTCTGCCTCCTGGCAATGGGATCACAAGTGCTTATCTTGCCCATCATTTACATGGGGCTAACAGCTCTCATGCTTGTCCAGAAATAAGTACTCATTGAGCACTCTTTCCCACCCCAGAACAAGCACTTAATCCTCTAATGCTTTCTCATTATGACTGCTAATGTTTGGAATTATGGATTCTTTCATCGTATCTATTCCTAGACTTGGAAGTACAGTCTACAAAGCAGTGGTATTATGTATTTGCTCATTTGTTTATTTCAGTTCTTTTCTAGACTTTCTGTGTAACCCTATACTAGAACCTGCTCTGTAAACCAGAACAGCCTCAAACTGGGAGGTTCACCTGCTTCCGCCTCTTGAGTGCTGGGACTAAAGGCAGCAAGCAATGGCTTTATAAAAGCATGTTTCTTTTCACAACTATGTTGGTTTTTGTAACTTTTTAAAAAAGATTTATTATGTATAGTGTTCTGCCTGCATGCATGCCTGCAGGCCAGAAGAGGGCACCAGACCTCATTACAGATGGTTGTGAGCCACCATGTGGTTGCTGGATATTGAACTCAGGTCCTCTAGAAGAGCAGTCAGTGCTCTTAACTGCTGAACCATCTCTCCAGCCTTTGACAACTACATTGTATTCCATGGAAACTAAGCAGTCAGGGATCTTGGTGATAAGGAAGAATTTCTCATCTGTACACTGCTTCCTCTCCAAAACATTAAATGAAAGTGTCATCCTATGGTGGCAGATACATGCAATCCCAGCACTAGGAAGGCTGAGGCAGGAGGCTCAAGGTCCCAGATCGAGTAAATCTATTTTATGTGCATCGGTGTTTTTTCTGTGTGAGGGTTTCATATCCCCTACAACTGGAGTCACAGACAGCTGTGAGCTGTCATGTAGGTGCTGGGAATTGAACCCAGGTGTTCTGGAAGAGATCTTAACCACTGAGCTATCTCTCCAACCCCTATCTATTGAATCCATCCATCCATCCCCCACCCGCCAGATTATTGCTATATAGCCCAAAATGGCCTTAAATTCAGGATTTCCTTGCCTTACCCTCACTAGTACTAAGATTACTAGTACTAGTGCAACAGCCTAGACTATTACCTGTTTACTAATCGAAGTTCATGGAAAGGGCTTACCAAAAAAAAAAACTGTTAGAAGCACTTCATGTTTTCACTGATTTCAATCAATGTTTTAAAGGTGGCTTTTAGGGCACTAAACAACCACTGAAACTGATCTTTTGTTCCATTTTCTAACAAAGGTGATTAGTGACATAAACTGTTTAACAGTACAGCTGATACAACAGCATAAACTTTCAGTCTGCAGTCTCTACTTCAGAGTGATGCTACCTACTAATACAAAGCTTCTCTAAATATTGTCACATCATGACAAAAAAAAAAACACAAAAGGTTTACTTCTCAATGAAAATTTACAATGAGTTCTTGCTATATTAACTTCCTAGTTTATGAAAACAATATGTTTAAAGTATGATCATAAGGGTCTGGAAATGGCTCTTCCAGAGATCCTGAGTTCAATTCCCAGCAACTACATGACTCACAACCACCTCTAATGAGATCTGGTGCCCCCCTCTGGCCTGCAGGGGTACATGCAGGAGGAAAGATGTATACATAATAAATAAATAAATCTTTGAAGAAAAAAAGTATGATCATGAGCTAGGCATGATTGCACACACCTTTAATCCCAGAACTCAGGAGGCAAAGGCAAACATCTCTGAGATCAAGGCCAACCTGGTTTACAAAGTGAGTTCCAGGACAACCATGACTACACAGAAAATCACGTCTTGAAAAAACTTTAAAAAAGAAAAGAAAAAAGAAAAAAAAAGTGATCCTAATTGAGGTGGCTTCATCAATATAAAATTTAGTTGTGCTAAGCAACGATCAAGCTCCCTTTATTTCAAGCCAGTGACTGGTTGGAAAGAGAAGGATTACAAAGAGTTGAAGAAGAGGACTTGTGATTTTGCCAAGGTGGCATCATACTTCTCTAAGATCAGGAAGCTAACATGGCTCTGGCATGAACACACTGATGTGGAGGCAAGGTCGGGGCTCTAAACAATCCAATAGTGTTTTGTGAAAACGTGGGAGCTACTCTATCCCCCTGTGCCTTACTTCCATGAATATAAAGTGTGGATAATAATGTACCCTGCTGCGTAGGATTGAATGGGGTGATTATGTGAAGTCCCTAGAACAGTACCCCCAAGACATGGCAAACATTAGCGTTACCATCATCAGCTCTGTGTATGACTGTTAACTAGGAAATCTGGCTAGAAAGCACCAGCAAATGGGACAGGGGCAGTGATCGATTTTCAACAGTTATATGTCAAATATAAACTATTTTTGAAACCAATGATAGTCAAAACCAAATGTGAGAAAGCAGGTATAAATAGAATAATAAATCTTCGTTCTTCAAGTTTCAAAAACATGAGACAATACAGGCTTTGGAGTTTGATGTTTATTTTTAGCCGGAAGAATATGCTAAAGGTGATGACATCTTTAGAAGATACGCCATGTCCAATACCTGCAATAGAAGCTCGACAGAAGTTAAAGAAACTGAACCAACAGGCTGAAGACAAAAACTGTTGACATACTTACTTATCCTTAGTGCTGCAAACATGAAGCAAGTAAAGATACATTAAAACTGAAGGCCACTACGACATCACAAACAGATTAAGTGAACCACCAAATTCATGTTCTAAGAAACTCCACTGATCTTCATTTCAAGTGGGCCAGTTCTTCAAGGACAGAGCAAAGAACTAATAACTGAGTAAATGTATTTGAGCAGAGAGAGCAAATTGAAAAAGGACAGTGTACAATTAAGAGTTGAGCATCTGGGATGCAGAATAATCAAGCAGCTCTCTCAGAACTCCAAAAGCAAGCCAGTCCAAGCACCACCTGCGCCTTATTGAGAAACCACTGAGCCAAGAATTAAATAATAAGTAAACTTAAGAGGAGGTACCATAACACACCTACAAAATTTAGAGTGATTATAACTAAAGGAACTCAAACAGGACATTCTCATATTGTACTGAAGTTAAGGACAAACCAAGTAAGAACTAGTTGATTAAATAGTCTTTTAAAGTCAAACCCAGCTCTCTCCTATGCAGACAATGCCTACTCTGCTCAAAATAAGATTGCTTCTGTATTGTCGCCTGAGCCCCAGAATCATCACCAACAGTAACAACCATACCTAATCCATCAACAACATTTTCCTGAGAGTGTGAGTTTAGGGGAATATATTAAGTGTGAGAATCAGCGGTGGAGAGAATAACAGAACAGAAATTCAATAAATCAATTTGTTACCACTAACACAGACTTATTAGAACTGTTATTTTCCTATTATGTTAGTGCATAAGGGATTTAAATTTCTATTATACATGGAATGTAACAAATTCTGCTAAGACCAAAATTCCAGGTTTACTTCCATCTGCAGGGAGTAACTGACAGCAAGAAGCAACTTACCTGGCTGGGTCACTGCCTAAAATGCTAAGATTCACAGATACATTAAGTTTAGTAAATTAAATAAATATGCACTAAGAAGGAAAAGGTTACGCACTTCCAATTTATGCTCTTTCTCTGCGAGGGCTTCCTTTTGACAACGAAGAAAATCTGCTAACATTCGAGTGAGTTGCTTTCTATCATCTATTTCTGCCGCCAGTCTGCCATTATAATCTGCCAGCAACATACAAGCATCCTCTACCATTTTAGAAAGCCTTTCTCCAGATTCTTTATCTAAGAAGAGCACAGGGTAACACAATTAATACACAACAAAACAATAACAAGCCACTCCCACACCCTGCCTCCCAAACAACCATGGACCTCACTCTCTTTTCTTACCTGTTATTTTCTCAAGCAGGGACACTTCTTGAACTTCAACAGGCAAGGAAGCTATCCTCTGATGGACTGCTGCGTCACCTGAGGCTGCATTTTCTAAATCTTGTAATGCTCTAACAAGGTCGAGAGTCTAAAAAAATTACACAATTCAGAACCAAAAGAAATAAAGCTCTAACAAATATAGAGGACTCAATACCTCTTTCGTATGCCTAGTCCTTATGAAGTATTCACTATCAAAACGTCTGCAACATACATTTGAGACTAGATTTTTTTTTTTTATGCATTTGCTTCCATATATGTCAGTCTGTGCAACAAGATCACACCTGGTGTCCCAGAGGTCTGAAAAAGGTGCCAGATCCCCTGGGACTTATAGATAGTCGTAAGCCACCTACTGGGTGTTGGGAACAAATCAAACCTGAATTCTCAGGTTAAGAGCTTAACTGCGGGTAAGTTTTAACAATCATTTTTTACATGTTTGAGAATAAAATATATTTAAAGGAAACAGTGTTCATATCTAAGGACAGAATTTTAGTGTAAGTTATGTAACAAATGTGTTGGTCATGTTTTATTTCAAAAATAAACTCTTTAAATAATGATGTTTTACTGCATCTAATCATCCTTAGCAATTAGAAATCCATTCCCTATATAAAACATAAAATTCAGCAGTTACGAGCAAAAACTCCTCTTGAAAAACAAGAGTTCAGTTTTCAGAACCATGAGGTAGCCTGTAACTGCTCAAACACCAGCCTAGGGAAGAAACACCTCTGGACTCCTTGGGTTCTCATGTAGTTATATATTATTTATGATTTATTAAAGCTTGACTGAGGATTCAGAAAAGCAAAGTCAGTCACTAGCCATTGAAGCCAAGCACACACCTTTAATCCTAGGACTCAGAATTAAGAGGTAAGCAAATCTGAGTCCAAGGCCACCCAGATCTACACGAGAGTCAATCAGTCTAAAAGAGAATTATAGCTCATACCTTTAATCCCACATTAGAGAAGTATGTAAGACAGAAGCAAGGTCAAAGGTAGACAGGAAAAGTTACAGTCTGAGGCTTGGTGAGAGTCCATGGAGACAAGACCAGCCCACTCAGCCTGAGGTAGAGGCAAGAAGCTAGTGGCCAGCTGCTTTGTTTTTCTGCTATTCAGCTTGAAGCTTGAACTCCAATTGTCAGTTTCTGGGTCATTTATTTATTCATGTTACAAACTAAAATAACGTTACAAACTAAAATAACAAAATCTCTCTCTCACACATACACACACCTTCAAACAAAAGCAGTTTGTTAACCAGACATGTGAGAGAGATTAATTTAATGCTTTTCTTATATTCAGGACCCTGAAATTATCCAAGCCCGGAGGTCACATGAAGTAAAAATCCCACAACTGTCTTGAATTTTTACCTGTGGTGGTTCACTTGGGGACCCTAGAGAGGAACAATTTTCATTCTCGTCCACCTTTATTTGTTCATAAGTCCTCTTCCTTGTCTTCTTATCTCCATCTAATTTAAAAACATGAAGTTTTAGGAATGATGTGTTTTCCTGAAGGACCACAGAAAGAGACCAAGACCCTGTACTTACAGAGAGCATGCTTAAGTTGCTCTAACACATCGTTTTCATATACAGATCGCTCTTCCCAAATAGACAGCACTCTGCCAAGGTGCTTCTTACAACTTTCATCAGTTTCACTAAATTTAAAAAAAAAAAAAAAAGGTAATTAATGAAACACTGGCAATAAAAATGTATAGTGAGTGCTACCACAAAGTAATAGTGATTTAAAATGAGACCAAATTCAGGCTCTCACAAGAAGAGCTACCTACTCAGGCATGCTGGGGAGCTCATTAAGGTGTGATGGAGAAACTGCCCTTGCTTCCCTTAAAAACTCAGCGAACAACTACACAGAGAAACCCTGGGGTAGGGATGGGGGAACACTCAGCAATAGAACTAGGGGCTTACAACAATGATGCTCCCAAGTGAAAGGAGCTAAATGACAGTTCCAGGGCAGTTTTTAAATTTGCTGACCCTACCACTCACTTTAGCACAGAAGTCTTTAGCAAGCACTATGAATGAGAACGTGGTGTTTCAGACAGTTAGACATCAGAGTACTATTCTGAGAAATAAAAGCAAATCTGAACACTGGCTCTACAGGAAAATGGAACATGGGAGATTTTCAACCACTGGCCACTTTCTTCAGCACTAACTCACCTGGTTGTGTGTGTGTATGTGTAAAATAACCTCAAACTGGAGGAACAGACAGTTGTGAGTTTCCATGTGGGTACTGAGAAACTAGTCCAGGACCTCTACAAGGGCTGTGCATGTATGTTCCTAACTACTGAGCCATCACTCTAGCCCCTTGCCTAGTTCTCATACCATTATTCATTGTCTCCAGCTTCAAGCCTTCACTTTAAAAAGTATTCCACTCTATGTCAAACCAGAGCAAGTTCTCAACTCTCTGAAACTCAAATCCTCAGCCTGAGCCATGGTCCCACAGCCTCTGCTTCTGGCAAACTCTCTCCACATCCCCTAACATTTTCTCTCATCCAAATCTCCTTGCTGATCTTCAAACTTGCCCAGAACACTACTGTTCACTCTTCCTAGAATCTTTTCTTTGGGCAGATTGTTCTTTTGGGGCTATAAACTCACAAAAAATGACACAGATTTTTTATTTATTATGAAAGCTCGGCCTTAGCTTAGGCTTGTTTCTAACTAGTTCTTACAACTTAAAATTAACCTATTTCTACTAATTTACTTTCTGCCTCATGGCTTGACTACCTCATCTCTGTACTGCCCATTCTGTTTGCTCTGCATCTCCTGGTGTCACCACCGCCTTCTCCCCAGAGCGCTCTGTCCAGAAGCCCCCCCTGTCTATGCCTCCTGCTTTTTATTAAACCAATCACAGTTACACATCTTCACACAGTGTAAAGGAATATTCCACAACACTTTTCCCCTTAGACAAAGGATCCATTTCATCTTTAAAGCCAATGGTTCTCAACCCTCCTAATGCTGCAACCCTTTAATACAGCTTCTCATGGTGCAGTGACTCCAACCATAAAATTATTTTCATTGCTACATCATAACTGAAATTTTTCTATTACTATGAACCACTATGTAAATATTTTCATAGAGGTTTGCCAAAGGGATCGTGACCAGCAGGTTGAGAGCCCCTGCTTTAGGCACTGGTTCAAAACTACCCTCCCAAAGAGTTCTTTGTCCCTTCATATAGCACAACACCTCCACACCCTCTCATTCTTTCTCTACTTCCTGTTTCTTTAGTCTAGCTGTCCAGACACCCATGTGTCTGTCTAACTATTATCACCTTTAATACACGCCTAATCTAAGACCAACTAAACAGATACTATGTTTCTTATTACTGTATACTCAAGAGCTTACCACACAGTATGGGGTTAATATAGAGTCTATTAAATTCTAGAAACTCAGCAGCACGCAGGAGGATAAGAAATTCACAATCAAAAATAAAGACAAAAAGAAATTCAGTCAGTCTTGACTACACATCAAGTTCAGGGTCAGCTTGGGATATATTAGATCCTATCTGAAAAACAAAAGTATCTACAGTGTGAGTTTTAGAATAGACAGGACTACACAGAGAAACCCTGTGCTGAGAAAACCAATTATTCATTTTGCTGGGGGGAGGGGGGATAGGCCTTTAATCCCAGCACTTGGGAGGCAGAGACAAGTGGGTCTCTGTGAGTTCAAGACCAGCCTGGTCTACAGAGCTATTTCCAGGACAGCCATGGATACACAAAGAAACCCTGTCTCAAGGGGTGGGGGGGACCAACCAAAGTACAAAGATTTAGAAAAGGGTGTGTTTACAATGCAAACTACAGGCTGGAAAACACACAAGAGTCTAGAGAGGCAGATGGCAGCGCCAGAAAGGAACACCTTAAGTCTTGCTAACACCAAGGGTAGTATGAGTACTCGGCCACTCGGCCACTGTCTACACACAGCTTCCCCAGAGGACCAAGTCATACTAGGGGAGCAGCTCCTGTAATCACCAAGACATTATGGCAACTAGGCAAGAAAATGGCACCCGGCAGGCCATGTGCTCCTCTGAGTATGCAGTGGGGGAGAAGGAAGCGAAGATGACACCCATCTCTTGCACGGTATCAAGGCAGATGGAGCTGCCATTCACTGAGGTAGTAAGGAACAAAGTTAGACAGAGGCACTTAAGTAGAAACAAGTAACTGGCATATGGCTCTAGAATAGAGAAAAAAATCTCAACTGAGCCAGACTTGGACCTTTTTTCTCCACAGTTGGAAGGCAGAGGCAGGGATGAAGAAATCTCCGAGTTCAAGGCCAGCCAGGGCTACATAGTGACATCCTGTGGGGGGGGGGGGGAGGAAATAGAAGAGGGTTTGGACTTGAAGTAAACACTAAGTTGTTCTAACATGGGCAACAATTAAACTCAGTGAAGAAACAAAACCATCAAAGGCAAGAAAAGAATGTGGAAGAAAGAGCAGCACTTAGCTCTCTAAGCAGCACACCTGGCATAGGGTAGGCTGCCAGGTGGAAACTGCAGGTCATAAGATAGTTAACAGCAAGACCTGACACGGAATCTGTCACCCTAAAGCACTTAATTTATGTGATCACCACGTTTAGCATGATTTACTATCCTATTCAGCACTGCTTGCCCAGTAAATCTATTATATACCAGCATATATATTTGAAAATAAGGAAATAAGACAGGCCAGCCAGATAGCTCAGTAGATAAAGGCATTTGTTTGTCTCACAAACCTAGGGACTTGCATCCAATCCCTGGGACCCAATTTTATAGAGGAAAGAACTCTAATCTCCTCCTGTGTGCAATGGTTTGTGTACACACAAAAATAAATGTAGTAGAAATATTTAGAGTGTGTGAAAAATTTATGATTATCTTAAATATTAATTTCTTTTCTTTCGTTTTTTTTTTACGTGCACTTGTGTTATGTCTACATGTATACCTGTATGTAGGTGTCAGACCACTGGAACTAGAGTTACAGACAGTTGTGAGCAGCCATGTGGGAACTGGGAGCCTAGGTCCTCTGGAAGAGCAGATAGTGCTCTTAACTGCTGAGCCACCTCTCCAGCCCCATATTCTTTATTTCTAAAGCACTTAAAAATGTTAGGGGACACACACACACACACACACACACACACACACACACACACAAACACAAACAAACAAACCATAAGAACACTGTGGTATTAAGTAAGCCCAGAAATAGCAAATCCTAGATGGAGTTCTACACACATGCATTTTCAGTTCAGTTCCTTCCTTTACTCTCAGTAACGTTCATCCTAACACAGCAGGCCTTCTGGTCTCTTACGGGAAAGATGAGATTCAAGTATTCCAAATGCCCCTCAGTAGCAGCTCAAATCCTCACAGAAGTAAAAACCACCAAAGTAAAAACCACCAAATTGCAAAGGAAAGCTTCAAAAAAATGCATTTCCCTTTTTTGCTGAGTCTAACCCTTACCTTATGTAGAGAAAGGATCCTACCTTGAAACATGCTTGAATGCCTCCACTATGACTGGTGCAAAATCTTTTGTGAACTCTGGCCCCTTCCTTTTGCTGTTCTGAATGACATCGTTGGCCAGGTAGAGAAAAGTAAGCTTCCTGTTGGGTTTGGCTAAAAGATTAGAAAAGAAAAAAATTAAGACACCTAAAACATCCTCACTGAATGTAGACAAACTTTCTTCCCACTGGGATGGCTCCAGTTTCTCCCACAAACTCATCTACCACACCAGGGCAGTACTCTACCGCTTCTGAAGGTCAGCCATGTTGGAAAAAATATAATCTAAGGCACACAGAGGTCAGTGATGAATCTTGCTGTTCCCTTCCTTGCAGGCTTATGGCACCTGGGCCATTTTTACCCTTCAATTCTGGTCTCACCATCATCCCAAGCTAAATAAATTTTATGTATAGAAATCCTCACACATGCACAAAACCACATCTCAGATTCTATCATGTATTATGCTTTACAAAAACCCGAATACAGCTATTTAATTAGATGGTGAAGAGTCACATTACTAAGACAGAATTTTAAATGTTGAGTTGAATTTAACATTGTTTCAATGGTCTCAAAACCATTAATCTATTGTAAATAAAGCAACAGAGTACAAAATATAGAATAGGTTGCAAGACATACCACTCAATTATGTATGTTCACCCTATGCAATCAGTATTTGCCATTTAAACATTGGGGAGACAGAAAGGTTTTATTTTTCTTCTTTATATTGCATGACCTTGAATCATTGAATCCATCTTGATTTAATATCCTCCTACTTGTCATACTCTGCAGTACTCTCAACCTTCTAGAGAAGCCACAAGATTTCCATAACTGACTGTGGTCATACTATGTTTTTACCAGTTACTACATCACAGCACAATGGTATTAAAAATTCATATAGGGTAGCTAGGGCTGTAGTTCAGAAACAGGTTTGGCATGTGATTCAATCCTCTGCAATGAGAAGAATTACAAACAAAAGCAAAATTTAGTTGTGTTCAAAATGGTCCCATCATAATTTAGTATGAAGCACAAAGTGTAGCACAATTACACTCAAAAGCAGCACACCTGTGATGGCTGCAGGACATCTTCATCAAACTGCACTGACTAGTTTTGTAAATTTAAGCACCCAAACACCACTTTTCACACCTTTAAGACTGAGCTGGAAACCTAACCTTCTCCTACTACACAATAAAATACAGAGAGATAGGTTAGACTCTAAGTCAAGTCACATCACTCTTCAGCCTTCTACCTGCTCAAATTGCTGCCTGCATCTTTTTAAAAGTTTCTGGGAAGGAGTCCCAGCAGATGCAAAGGAAGCAAAATGACAATGCCTCACTGAGAAAATGTACCAAGCCACGTGGCTAAACAGAGATAATAAGGATTATGAGCTAATTTAAGTTGTAAGAGCTAGTTAGTAATAAGCCTGACCAATAGGCTAAACAGTTTATACTTTGAAAAGTTGCTGGTTTGGAACAATGTAAAGATAGTACTAACAATCACCAATATCTAGTTCATTGAGTTTCTGTACCATGGCCAGTGAATACATCAAGACCCTCTCTCTGAGGAGGAATATGTGGGCAACTTTCCCAGTATTCAGCCTTCTCCTTTTACTTATGGGCACTTGCTCAATCAGACTCATGGGATTAGTTCAAGTTTTTACTTTTTCTACCATCACATTATTTTTGTAAGATTTTGTTTGATTTATGTGTATACATGCATGCTATCTGTCTGAGTACATATGATGTGTGCCCGCATATGGAGGGCAGATGCCCTGGGGCTGGAGTTACGTTACAGGTGGTTGTAAGTTGTCCCATGTGAACTCAGGTTCTCTGGGAGAAGAGCCAGTGTTCTTAACCACTGAGCCACCTCTCCAGCCCAATTTGACAGTGTCTCTCTATGTAATTGTGGCAGTCCTTGATTCTGTATGTAAACCAGGCTGATGTTGAATTCAGAGATCCTCCTGCCTGTTCCCTGAGGGTTGGGATTAAAGATATGTACTACCGTGTCCAGGCCCCATCGGATTATGTTTATTTTTTCAGTCCCACTGCAGTGCCCCCTCCCTCTCCTCCCAGTTATAGACGGCTGTGAGCCATCACTGCCCTGCCTTTTTTTTTTTTTTTTTTTTTTTTTTTAAGGGTTTTTGAGACAGACAGCTTCTTCCCAGGAATTCTTGTTCACAGTTATCCAACCAGTTCACAATTCTCTTGTCTTTCTGTCTTTGTCTCTTACCCTCCTTTCTCTTCCCTCTCCCTCTATCCCTCTACTGAACTATGACTAAAAGAAAATCCCTCCTCCATTTCAGTTTTGTTTGTGGGTGTCGAGGAGACAAGGCCTTGCGGTGCATCTAAGATCGGCCTTAAACCCTGAAATTTCTCGCCTCCACTTGCCACGTGTTGTGCCTTCCCTCCTTTTAAATGGGTTTCTAGTCTCATGTCACAGTGCTTGCAGGGTACAACTGGACACTGAGAATACTGCAAAAGGCCACAAAAGAAGAGGACATTTCAAGCTGGAGCTGGGGTCTCTATCCTTTGCTCTCCTTGCCCACCTTAACCACCTACAGCAACTCCTTTGCTCTCAAGGAGGAGGTGCTCACACCGGACAGGAGGGGTGCTCACACAGAAGGACAGCAGGGGGTGCTCACACAGAAGGACAGGAGGGGTGCTCACACAGGACAGGAGGGGTGCTCACACAGGACAGGAGGGGGTGCTCACACAGAAGGACAGGAGGGGTGCTCACACAGAAGGACAGAAGGACAGGAGGGGTGCTCACACAGGACAGGAGGGGTGCTCACACAGGACAGGAGGGGTGCTCACACAGAAGGACAGAAGGACAGGAGGGGGTGCTCACACAGGACAGGAGGGGGTGCTCACACAGGACAGGAGGGGTGCTCACACAGAAGGACAGGAGGGGGTGCTCACACAGAAGGACAGAAGGACAGGAGGGGTGCTCACACAGAAGGACAGGAGGGGGTGCTCACACAGGACAGGAGGGGTGCTCACACAGGACAGGAGGGGGTGCTCACACAGAAGGACAGAAGGACAGGAGGGGTGCTCACACAGAAGGACAGAAGGACAGGAGGGGTGCTCACACAGGACAGGAGGGGTGCTCACACAGAAGGACAGAAGGACAGGAGGGGTGCTCACACAGGTCAGGAGGGGTGCTCACACAGGACAGGAGGGGTGCTCACACAGAAGGTCAGGAGGGGTGCTCACACAGAAGGACAGGAGGGGTGCTCACACAGAAGGACAGGAGGGGTGCTCACACAGGACAGGAGGGGTGCTCACACAGGACAGGAGGGGTGCTCACACAGAAGGACAGGAGGGGTGCTCACACAGAAGGACAGGAGGGGTGCTCACACAGGACAGGAGGGGTGCTCACACAGAAGGACAGGAGGGGGTGCTCACACAGGACAGGAGGGGTGCTCACACAGAAGGACAGGAGGGGGTCTCACGCAGAAGAAAAGGCCTTCTTTTCACAGCCACGATACTCTGCCTCATCTGAGGACCAAAAAACAATGGAGCGAGGGACCACAGACAAAAACAACTTTCCTCAAGTATTGTTAACACAAGGTATTCTACGGCAGTGATAAGAAAGGTAACTAACAAAGACTGAGCCCCAATACTGGGGAGAGGAGGACTGCCAAAACCCTATTTATTCTGGTTTTTTTTTTTTAATTTATTATTTGGTTTTCTTCTTATAATTTATTTTTATTTCATATGCATTGGTGTTTTGCCTGCATATATGTCTGCATAAGGGTGTCAGATTCACTGGAACTGGAGTTACAGTTCTGAGCTGCCAATGTGGGAGCTGGGAATTGAACCCAGGTCCTCTGGAAGAGCAGTCAGTGTTCTTAACCACTGAGTCCTCATCTCTCCAGATCCTGTTGTGCTTCCCCACCCCACCCCACCCCTGTATGAATTATATTTCAGAGAACCAATGGTGGATGAAGTAAGTTTTTTGCAGATCATGTATCCAAACATAAGATACCCAGAGTCACCTAGAAGGCTTACACACAAACTGTTGGTCCTACCTAGCTTCTGTCTGGAGTAAATCCCAAAAATATCCATTTCCATAGTTCTCATATTATACTGATGCACAGTCCGAGGCCTATACCTTCTTTTAAGGCAAGGTCTCACTATGTAGCTCTAGCTAGCTTAGAGCTCTTATGTGGGGTATGCCTAGAACACACACAGACTCTACTGCCTGTCTCCAAAGTGCTGGAATTACTAACACATTATCAACATAACTAGCCAAAGACAGCCATGAAAGAAATTCTTCTATAGTACACAGGACACAGTCTCTCCAGCAAATAACCTGCATGGAATTTAAAACATACAAACAAGTAGAGAAAGAATGCCAGGCACGGTGGTTGCAAGTTCCAGGTCAGCCAGGGCTATGTAGTGAAGCCATATTTCAAGAGTAAAGTGGATTCTACTTTACATATTAATTATTCAAGACATCTCCAAGGGAACCTGGGATCCTAAACATAGACTAAGTTGAGGACTATCAGTTATGGAGCTCATAAGTATGATGATGGCTCAGTGAGATACACATGAGCGTGAGCGTGCGCGCACACACACACACAAATTTGAAAAGAATCATGGTTAATTTTGTTAGATAAGATTGCCCCCTTATGATTGTAATCAAAGTTTAATGTATGGTAAATATACCCTTTATGATAAAGTGACTCTGTATCTGATATTTGCTTTAAATAACCAGAGGGAATAAGCAAATAGAAAAATGGAGCCACCATAGGCATGAAACAGAAGACACAGTGCCACTAATGCTGAAACCAGGGATGGGCTAAAGCTATTGCTCCACTGGAAATACTTGTCTACCAGGTAAAAACTTTGGGTTCAAACCCCAGCACTGCACAAACCAGGAAGTAGTGGTTCACACTTGTAATCTCTATAATCCCTGCATACTGTCTCGAAGACTCTTCCATGAAGCAGGATCTCTGTAGCAATGTCCATCTTGAATCAGGAGTCACTTTCCTGTGGGTCCTGCATGTCCAGTTTATACATCACAAAGTCAAACAGTCCAGACAAGAGCAGTATCTTGTCCAAATGGCTAGTCTTGCCATATTGGAAGCAAACGTCATAATGTATTTCTTCGATGTA